ATATTATCCGCATTTTACAACATTTCGCAACGAAACTTTGGAATATTACTAATTTTGTGATGCTCTTTCAAGCTGTGATGAAATTTTTGTCTAGATCAAAATTTAGTCTATAATGCAAATGGTCCATTAATTAATCCAGAAGAACTTCTCCTTACATGACATAGTAAAATAACCCCTTAAAATTGTTTGGAAAACAAGTATATAATGCTGCTGAGTAAAACAAAATGTAGGCGACACATATTACAGTTTAGTGGGGTAGCAAGATATATAGCCTGCTCACAGCCTGAAATTCAGAAGGGGGAAATTTTTCCCTTCTAAATTTCAGGCTGTGAGCAGGCTACAAGAGGATATGACAGAGTCTTCTATTCAGTGTCATAACTGTAGGGTGTTTGGGTGTTCAGAGGCAAGGGGGGGGGCATACCTGGGGGCACCCGGCAAAAATGACCACATTGGGCAATTTGTCCCGAGCCTCAGACTCAGTTTTAGAGGGTCAGAAAATTTGCAACAGGTGGCCCCCAAAAGCAGGAATTGTTGAAATTTGGAACCACATATCCCCCCACCCCCACCCGGGGGGAGGGGCTCAGGAGGTTCTGTTACGCCACACTGCTTGTATTAACCCGAAGTGCCAAATACTTGAAATGTTGGGAAGTGGTTATAAAGTCACAAGGTAAATGGCTATATATATTTACACTTACCGCCCAGTTGGAATGGTACAAAAATATACCTAACATCAACTGTATAGCATTCATGCATTGTGACCGATTTCTTAAAAGTATGGATGAAGCCATGCAAACAGCAGGAGTCCATGTCTTTTCCTCTCTTTTGGTCCTAGTTGAACCTGCAGCCACCAATATAGAAAAAAGCAATGGTGCCCTTTCTTCCATTTCCTTTCTTTGATTCTCTAAGGAAAAATTGAGCATTTTCTCTTTTGAGGGTGACCGCAGACAACTTGGATTTTTCTTAGAACACAAGTCAACACATTCTTTGTCAATGTTTTTAAGAATATTAAAAACAAGATGCTTTCTTATATGTAGGTTTCCCCACGCCGCATTTGCGATCTGCTTGTATGTCCCTCGGACAAGCATTTTTCCCAATGACTGTAAATCAGAGTGAAGTTCTCTTTGCCTAGTCTGACTTGGCCATGTTACTGTCACGTTTACTGATGTTTCACTGGTTTCCTTAGCTATACTTTTCACAGGCGTTGAATGTGAAATCGGATCGGAGTTGGTACTTCTGGTAATACAGGTGGGGGAGAATCAACTCTACCACGTTCAACTGTAGCTTTTGTCTGTGATGTAATCGGGGAATTTGCACTTAAAATACACGGCCGTTTGGTACTGGGCCTTTAAGTCTCTTTAAGTTCGTTTACAATGATTTTTTCTTGAGAAATAAGGTTGTTTCTTTTGCGAAGTTTATCACAACACTGTCGATAAATGTAGGGCGAAGATTCCAAAATAACAAACGGCAACTGTCGAAGAGCCTCTTTCAGATCAAATTTCGTTTTGCCTGATACTAAATACCTTTCGTGCGCCTTTTCAATGATGCGAAAACACAGAATACAAGTACAACTCAAAGCATTACTCGAAGCCATGAGCATTTGCATGTTTAATAATTATGCGGTGCGCCTTATTAATTTTACATAATTATCCGTAAGTGACTACGTCACTGTACACGATTAAGCCCGAATTTCAGCAGACTGAAATTTTCCCCTTCTAAATTTCAGGCTGCGAGCAGGCTAGGCCTATTTAAATGTTAACAAAATTAACTACCGGGTGTCCCAAAAAAAAGTACTCCGGTTTGATTCGTAATAACTTCTAAACAAGTAAAGCTTTTAAAGAGAAATAACTTGCATCAAATAAAGAAAAGACTAACTTAAATTTTGATATATTACAGTTGTATTTCACTTAAAAAGTCACGGAGATATTAATGTTTAAAATCGGAAGCATATTTCTGGATGTGTCTGAAATATGCAAAAAACGGCAAATATTAATCAAATATTAATCAAGATTTGCCCGACTGAAACATGCACTATTAGCAGTAAATAAATGACGCTTGACAAATTGTTTATTATGAAACAAAGTATTATTATCTACAAAATACAAGCATGATTTATTCGTCCGAAATCCGCGTGTGTTCCTAGCACGAAAACGTTTCCTTATGTCATGAGACCACTGCATCGCGAAGGATCATCATGGATCGTTCGTATAGTTCTGAAATGGGGCATGCTGTCACAATGGAATTGTGAAGCTCTTCTAACTTGTGCAACGTTCTGAAATCTTGTTAAGAACACTCAAACTCTTTTGCCTCTTCTTGATCTTGTTAAGTTCAGAATAAACTGAGAGTGAAACACAATCAAACCATACAACTCCATAAGACATAACAAGCAACTCCCCAGAGACATCCAACATTTTTGGAACAAAACGTAACAAAATAGTAGCGTTGATCCTGTGATGTGTATTTGCAAATATTATTTTCTTCATTAAAGAATAATATTCATCCTGCTCTAACCGAGAAATAATCAAATCTGTTTTGAACCCATGAAAAACATAAAAAAATTAGGCCATTTAAGAAAAATTTAAGCGCCTGCCTTGCATGGTCTTTCATGTACCTTTAAGTTTGTAAAGACCTATTAAATACTTGCATAATTTCGAACGTTCGTATTTCAGGAAACAATGAGCTAAAGCCCTGGGCAAACTAGGAAACATTGTTGCGGAAACGTGAATTTTTAAGTAAAATACAACTTGTAATATATCAAAATCTAAGTTAGTCTTTCCACTATTTAATGCAAGTTAGTTCTGTTTGATAGCTTTACTTGTTTAGAAGTTATTATAAATCAAACCGGAGTCCTTTTTTTTGGGACACCCGGTAGTAAAAAAAAATTCAATCAAACCGCAATTAAGTGGCACCTTACTGGATTAACTTTTTGGCTAAATAGAGGTATGCACAAAGTATACTTGGGGTGGTCTATAAATGTCTATTCAATCATAAATCACTGATTAAAGTAATAGGTATAGACTGAAAGTGTCAAAACATATGAGTCACGTTTTAGGGGGAACTAAATTTTTAGACTTTTAGGGTTAGGGAAAGACTTAGGGAAAGAGTTAGGATTAAGATTAGAGGAGGTTTATGGTTAACACGTGACACGTGACATGAATGTTACTAATCAGTAATACAATCACTTTCATTGACTTGTTGGTGTTGGACATGTGTTGAACATTCTATTTATGTGTGATTGATATGTGTACTCCGGTAAAGCAAAATATTAACCCATTGAGCCGCAATGTGCCATACATGACATTAGTATGCCAGACAATTTTACTCCTCAATGGGGAAGCTCTGCAGCTTAATGGGTTAAGCATGATAATGGTCTTTGATATGTGGCCACTTAAAGAAGGGCCACTTAAAGTTTGTAGTGTGTGACATAATACCTTATATTTGAAAAAGTCAGATGCACGCTTTGCAAACTTTCCAGTCAGTATAGTTTGTAAGACTTGTGTAAACAAAGTTGATTCAGAATGTTAACCCTATAAGTGTCAGTGCACCCTACTTTAGTATTTTAATCTGTCTAACGTCAGACAATTATACTTGTCGAGAGCTGCTACCTAATGGGTTAAATATTGAATTTCCATTCAGTCAGTCTGCTGATATCATACACAATATTTTTTTGTAATTTGTTGTTTGTAGGTGAGGTATGTAATTGTAGAATTTTTTTTCTAGAGTATGCTTTCTAGAGTCAATTTTTCTATTTAATAATAATTCAAAACTTGTGTAATTTCATACAAATGAGACAAGGTCTATCAGTAAAATTTGACACAGTATATCAAAAATTTGACACAGTATTTTTGACACAATAAAAGACAATAAAATTTATGTAAAATTATTGATCTGAACTCAAAAAAATACATTTTTTATATGTGTTCATTATTACAAAAACGATTACTACGAAAAACAAAGTGCATGAACAATTGAACATTGTACAAACTGAAACCATTTTAAATATATAAACACTAGTAAAATTTATATTATATTGTGGTATTAAAAACCTTCATTAATAAACTGTTGAGCTGTTTATGCATTTCACATTCTTTGAAAGGACTTAGAAGACGGACAGCCGAGAACTTTACTCTTTTACACAAATATGATGTAAAATATCTATATAAATATATCCAAAGAATTCAGTTCAAAAGAACATATAAAACACGTCCATTTTCCACATGTCAAACCGGAAGTCAAAAATCAAAATCTGTGCAGGAAGTGACGAAAGATGGCGCAAAAATGTGGGTTATTTAATTAAATCACATTGAAAGGATTTAAATTGTTTTGCGAACCAAAACAAATCTTAATATTAAACAATGGATGCATTTGAAAAAGAAAACCAAGTTATAAAGTGCGGAACAACTTGGAGTTCAGCAGCAAATTGTTTCAGCAATACAATTACAGATCCAAATATATCTTTTTTCCGTTTTCCAAAAAACGAAGATCGGTAAGCTGCCACGAAATGGCATACTTTCATCGTTTATTTTAATACTTTTCAGTACAATATATTATAACAACTATTTATACTATAACAACTATTTAATTTATTAAACTAAAATTAATATTTTAGCAAAGCAGTAGCTTATTTATCTTTTTAAAATTTTAATATTTTAGATCAAAACAATGGGCAGTTAATAGTGGAAGATACGATTTGCTAAGCAATGACTCAGTCTTCTTGTATAACAACTGCAAATTATGTGCAAAACACTTTTCTGACTCTTGCTTTCGAAATTACAAGAAATATAGACTTAACGATATGGCAGTGCCTACAATATCCCCACATCATTTAGGAATAAAACGAAGACTTGTTGACATTGGTACATCAGGTGATTGTTGTTATTAGCACAAAAATTTGAAATACTATGGTCATAATCATATAATACCATATCAGACATTCATTATCTATGTACTGAATGTGAATGTATGACTTGCAGATTGTGAAACACCAACTAAGAAAATGCCATCATCCAGAGGAGCCCGGATCTTGTTCTCATCAAATTCTAAGGAAGGTATTAAAAGGATTTAATGAATTATATATGATTTATTGTTTAACCCATTAAGTGGAAGCACTCTCCACTTGACAAGTAAAATCGTATGGTGTTAGGCAGTGTAAAATACTAAAGAAAGGCGAATCAGGGTACATTGTCGCTTGAAGGATTAAGAGGGTACAAGAGCAGTTTGTTTGGTTAACCCATTCAGTGGCATCACTTTTCACTTGACAAGTAAAATCGTCTGGCGTTAGAAAGAGTAAAATACTAAAGTACGTTAGAGTGCATCAGGGTGTATTGCCACTTAAAAGGTTATACAAATACAATACAAATTTATTTAGAACCTCCCCTCAGGGCTTTTCAGGTCTAATTACAAGTTTATAAGTTACAATTTAGAAGTAATGAGTTTATAAATTACAATATTTAGTATAGATATAAAATTGAGTGTCTAAATACAGAATTTAAAAAGTTATGTATTAGTTGTAAATATTAGGCATTAAGGAGCCAGGTCTTTAATGACTGTTTAAAAGTGTTCAATGAAGTACTCTCTCTAACATTGTTCGGTAAACTATTCCACAATTTAATAGCTCTGTATCCAAATGAACGTTGAGCAAAGCTTGTTCTACATTTTGGGATATCAAGATTATGGCTATTACGAGTGCTACGATTGTGTACGTCAGAACGTCTCTTTAACAAAATGTTTTAAATACAACGGTACACTGCCGTTAATAATTTTATATACCATTTGAGCATCTCGATAAGCTAACCTATCCTGGACTGATAACCATCCAAGATCTTTAATTGTGGATGAAATATGGTCAAATTTCCTCTTGCCAGAAATTATTCTAGCAGCAAAATTTTGAACCAGTTGTAATTTCCTTATATTCTCTTTAAAGGTACTGTACCTGCCCAAACAGTCGAGCAATAATACAATTTACTAAACACAATAGAATTGATTATAGATATCAGAGTTTTCTTATCGAATAAGTGTTCAACTCGGCTGATCTGACACAATGATCCCATAAGTTTAGATGTAAGATTCTGGGTATGATCGGTAAAAGAAAGACATTCGTCCATTATTGTTCCAACATCTTTTGCACAGCGAACTGGGGTTAATTCCTCACCAAGAAATTGTAATGGTGGTAGATTAATCTTGGTCAGAGCTTGCTTGGTTCCAAACAAAAGAAATTTGGTTTTCCCGTGGGTTTATTAACAAGGAATTTGAACAACACCAGGCAGCAACTCGTTTTAAATCTGCATCCAATTTATTCATACTCTCGGCAATATCACTGATTGAGAATGATAAGAAGAGTTTTGAGTCGTCCACGAACGATTCGATCTTACAGTCCTTACACATGCTGCTAATTTCATTAACATGCAAGTTAAGTAGTAGTGGACCCAAGATTGATCCTTGCGGTACGCCGTGTGTAACACGCTGCATATCAGATAAATGCTGTCCCACTCTAACAGATTGAACGCGCTCGCCAAGATAACTTCGAAACCAAACAGTAGCTGACGCACTTGTTCCAAACTTTCGAAGTTTTTCCAACAGGATATCATGACTTATACTGTCGAACGCCTTACTTAGATCCAGTAATATAACAGCTGTAAGATTCTTTCTATCTATAGATTGATATATACATTCCGTTAAAAACAGCTACAAAGTTTCAGTGGAATGGTTTTTACGGTTACATTCTGGTGTTTATTTAACTTATTAGTTTCAATCAAATAATCAGTAAATTGTTCCAATGCAACACGTTCAGTGACCTTTAACGGTACGGGTAGCAATGAGATAGGTCGATTATTCGCTGCAATTTGATGATCCCCCTCTTTATGTAGTGGTATAACCTCTGCTTTTTTCCACTGAAGGGGAAAAACCTCTTGACTAAAGCTGGCATTAACAAGGCCTGTTAGGGTTGATAAAATATGTGGGTAACAATCCTTAAGAACATTGATAGAAATTTTATTATAACCTGGTGCTTTATTGGATGGCATATTCTTTATCACTTGTTCAATTTTGGTGTAAGATACTTGGTTGAAAAAAAACTGATCAGATAAAGGATACCTTTGCTTCGGTTCTGCAGACGCCGATAGCTCCATAATTAAGTCGTACTCGATCGCCAGTCTTTTTGCAGATTCTGCTGTCTTTTCTCCTACTGATATGAAATAGTTGTTAAATTGTTCACACAACTCAGAAGTGGGTTTTGTGTAGCATGGCTGATCATTTATCTTTCTAGGGATACAACTGCGAATGATTTTCCGAATACATCGTGGTGCGTTTTGATTTAATAGGATTTGTTCGTGAACATAAAGTTTTTCGGCATTTCGTAATTCGTTCTTAACCTTGATCTTATATGCTTTAAATATTAACCAGTCTCTAGTTTGCGAGGTTTGGCGAGCTATCTTATGTGATAAATCCCTCTCTTTGATCAATGATCTGATTTCAGGCGTCATAAATGATAAACGTTTTGTTTTCATTTTAATGTTTTTTTTGGGAGCATGCTTATCCAATACACTAAGGAACAGGTCATTAAATGTATCAACCCTATCGGACACGTCATCCAGTATCTCTACCGTATCCCAGGGGACATCCGCGATATCTTTTGCAAACTCACTGGCTTTATAATCCTTATTGCTTCGCACGTTGCTAATGGTGGGGCTAGTTTTCGGTGTTTTCAAATTTAGTTTAGCCGTAATAACATATTAGCCGTATATTAGCCGTAATATACAAACAATAATAATGTCATAAGATAAATGCAGGTATAAATTTTACTGTGTTTGATCTAGACACAATGTTTTACAAATACAAAGAATAATTATATCTCCTACTTTCTGTATTATTGTAGGTCCACCACCAGTCACCCAGATGAGTATAGCACCATCCCCAAGAATGGCTTCACATATAACTACGATAAATGCAGGTATAAATTTTACTGTGTTTGATCTAGACACAATGTTTTACAAATACAAACAATAATTATTATTATATGTCCTACTTTCTGTATTAGATCCACCACCAGTCACCCAGATGAATACAGCACCATCCACCATGAGCACCAGTATGGCTTCAAACATACATGTAGATGCTGTAAATTGAGGTATAAATTTTACGAAGTTTCATTAATTAGACATGATGTTTTACAAATGCAAACAGCTCATTAGATGTATTTAATCAGAATTCTTATTTTGGAGAAATAAATAAATTTATCATTTGTAGAACAAACATATGATCACATTCATTGCCATGCAAGATCTCAATCATCAGTAAACACGCCAACAAAGAAGAAAATACGAAGAATTATCAACAAGAAAGACCAACAAATTTATCGCCTGAAACAAAGAATCAATCTTAAGAAACCAAATGATAAATCCAAAAGAGAAGCTATAAAGATACTAGAAACAATGCTACCTGCCAAAATCTGCAATTTTGTTAAATCACAAATTGACCTTCATGCAAACAAGTCAAAGAAAGGAAACAGATACAGTAGTGAAACTAAGGCCTTTTCACTTTCTCTTTATCATATAAGTGGATTGGCATATAGAGTTATATCAAGGTTTTTCTCCCTACCAACCAAGTCGACCTTGCTCAAATGGATCTCAAGGATGCCAAACTGCGCTGATTTTACCGGTTATGCGGTGGAAACCATAGCTAAGAAGGTGAATACCATGAGTGCTGCAGGAAAACAATGTATCATCTCCTTCGACGAAATTTCCCTGAAGACAAATTTGTCTTATCAGTCCAATACAGACGAGCTGGTTGGCCTTGAGGATTATGGTGATGGCAGCAAATCTAATTTCTTGGCAACATCGGCCATAGTCTTCATGACCCGTGGCATAGTAGACAACTGGAAACAACCGCTGATGAATGAGGCATGCAACAGCATCATAGTGAAAGAAAAGCTGGTTGATATAATTGAAAAGGTAGAAAGTATTGGCTTAAATGTTGTGGCAGTTATATCAGACATTGGGTCGAACTTTCAAAAGTTTGTAAAAGAGATGGGTATCACTCCTGAAAATCCCTGGTTTGTCCATGGTGAAAAGAAGATAATCTTTCCTTTCGATACACCTCATATTGTCAAAGCAATCAGAAAAAACTTGATTAAGTACAATTTTTATTTTGATAAAAAGGTGGCATCATGGCAAGATATCGAAGCACTGTACCAGATGGATACCAAAAATCCCATACGATGGTGTCCAAAGTTGACAAGACAACATATATCCCCTCATAACTTTGAAAGAATGAAAGTTATATTTGCAACGCAAGTATTAAACCACTCCGTTTCAGCTGGCTTAATGATGGCAGTGAGTGGTGGCCTACTTCCAGCAACTGCAGCAGGAACTGCTGAATTCACTTCAAAAGTTGATGAAATTTTCGATTGTTTGAACAGTTCAACATTTAAAAACTGCAAGGAACTAAATAAACCCATTACAGCCGACTCAAACCATTGCGAATTTATAAAGAATACCTGCTTATTCATTAAACAAATTAGAGTCAAAGATCCAGGAACTGGAAAACATTGAAGTCCACATTGAAGTGTTTAGGACCTTTACAAATAACTTTAAACGGAACAGTCCTCATATGGAACACCAGGATCCTTTGGAAAACTTCTTTGGCTGTAGCAGGCAACAAGGTGGCAACTGTGATACACCAACGCCATTGCAGTTTACAAGAGCATTCAGTAAGTTGTTTTTTGACAACTACTTGCTACATTCAAATGGGAACTGCAGTGCAGATGTAGATGCCATCTTGGTTGGTTATAAGAAGACTGCAAAGAATGCCCAAGAGGACAAAGAGGAAGACACGTATGAAGTAGACACACCATTCCAGATTTCCGACTCTGACTACCAGCTCCCCACAGTCGAGGAAAACCTACTACTGAAAAAAAAGTTTACCGAAAAAAAGTTTACAACAGCATCAGTGCCAAATTTGTTCTAAAGATCTGGTCAACAATGAGCAACTGGACAGTTCTAGCAAACTGTTTACTTATTTCAAAGCCTACAACAACAATAAAGGCCTATTTGGAGGTCTTAAAGTGCTAACAGCCAAGTTCGTGGATTATATGAAGAAAATCGAGAATATTTTCATGGAAAATTTTCCCAATATAATAACAAAGAATGGAATTGGTAGGCATCTGGTTGATATCCTACCTAAATTCTCTGCTTCCAGCTGTGAACAATTTCCGGGTGAATACCTTCTTAAACTGTTTGTGCGAATGCGCATATACAATGTCGTGAAATTTGGCAACCGAGACCTTAGAAAAGCAAAGAAGGGAAAGAACAGAAAATTCTTTAAAGTTACACATCTATAAATACAAAATGGTACTGTGGTATATTGGTATCCGATCGTTTCGCCCCCAAGTTGATTCAATATCAAAGTCAATTCAATATCAAAGTCATTTCACCCCCAAGTCATTACATGTCAAAATTGCTTCGCCTCTCAAGAACTTATCTAATAAGGCAATAAACATTATACTGTACTTTTGCATAATACAGTATATAAAAACACATGCAAGAACAAGCTACAAGGGCTAAGTGTTTTGTTTTCTACAATCGATCAAATGCAGTGATCGATGCACTGATTACTTTTTTGACAACAGACAATCAAAACAATTCCCTGTGCAGTGAGTATCAGGGGGGCGAAACAACTTTGACATCTAATGACTTGGAGACAAAATGACTTGTGGGGAATCGACTTGGGGGCAAAACAACTTGTATTCGACCTGTACATATCTATGGGGCGCCAAATGTGTTTTTATTATTTAAATGTTTTATGTCGCATTTTCAAATGATTTAGTTAATTATATCAAATAACCAAATATCACCATTGTGGTTATTTGAAATAACCACTTTTTGTCAAAATGATTTAATTTGGTTATTTAAAATAACCAATTTTTTTCGAAATGATTTATTTTGGTTATATCAAATAACCACTTTTGACAACATGGTTTATTTTGGTTATATCAAATAACCACTTTTGGCAACATGACTTATTTTGGTTATATCAAATAACCACTTTTGACAACGTGATTTATTTTGGTTATATCAAATAACCACTTTTGACAAATTGGTTATTTCAAATAACCAAAATAATTTTTCGACACTTGGCGAGCCAAATGACGTAGGATACAAAACAGATTTAGCCACCCCTCCCAGGGGCTTCGATTGTCAACTTTACGAACATCTCCGGCGTGAAAACTGAAAACATTGTTCGACTTCAACAGTTCGATTTGTATTTTAATAAATACAGTAAACCATTTTTGCTTGTTTGCTTCTTGACATGTTGTCAGAAAGGTTAGAAAGGTCGTTGACCGTCTGACCGAGGCAATCGGACGTACTATTCGCGAAACAATTAATAATTCAGCAGAGGTAAGTTTTATATAAATATCTGCATGCTCATTAATAGTAAATTTGAATAATGTATTTACACGCTGGCCATGTTACAAGGATTCGCAAGTTGCTAGGCTATGTTAGACTTTCCAAAGTCCTTCTCAAGCGCTCCCTTCTTGCTACGCGCGGTCCCTAGCGAGCGACTTGGGCAAGTCTAGGCTACGTTAGTGTCTTGTATTAAGCCCGATAGGTCGTGTTTACTTGTCTACGGCGCTGGCTAAACGTAGGAAAACAGTATGCATCTATGAAAACTTATCTTGCATGCTATTTTTACGTTTTATGTGGTGTTTGAGCGTTCGTCTTGAGCAAGCATGCTATAGAGGAGGGTAAAGGAGGCCAGTGGCGCCAAAATATATATATATATATATAGATATCATGGACCTATATGCAGTATGCCTGTAGCATGCAAAGCACATACAGTAAACCTCCAAATATAAGCCCCCCTCGAATATAAGCCCTCCCCCCGTGTATAAGCCCACCACTTGTACTAACGCTCACCTCATTCCAAAATTATATAAGCCCCCCCCCCAAATATAAGCCCACCCGATTATAAGCCCACTTGTTTATCACTATTGTTTATCACTATTACCACTATTAATCACTATTATCACTTGCTTATCACTATTACTATACTTGTTTATCACTATTACACTAACACAAAAGATCGTCCATGTATAACCTCCACCCCCTCAGTATATAAGCCCTCCCTTGCATAAGCCCATCAAAAATCGCTTACAAAAGAATATAAGCCCAGGGCTTATAGTCGGAGGTTTACGGTATATATGATATACGCATTGTTTATGTTTTCATACAGGGGGGGGGGTACTGATACGTGGGGCTTATACATGCATGGACGATCTTTTGTGTTAGTCTAATAGTGATAAACAAGTATAGTAATAGTGATAAGCAAGTAATAATAGTGATTAATAGTGGTAATAGTGATAAACAATAGTGATAAACAAGTGGGCTTATAATCGGGTGGGCTTATATTGGGGGAGGGGCTTATATAATTTTGGAATGAGGTGAGCGTTAGTACAAGTGGTGGGCTTATACACAGGGGGCTTATATTCTGGGAGGCTTTATATTCGGACGTTTACGGTATATGCTTTGCATGCTACAGTGCATACTGCATAGGTCCATGATATCTGTAAATGATTAATATATTTTGGCGCCACTGGCCTCCTTTACCCTCCTCTATAGCATGCTTGCTCAAGACGAACGCTCAAACACCACATAAAACGTAAAAATAGTATGCAAGATAAGTTTTCATAGATGCACACTGTTTTCGTACGTTTAGCCAGCGCCGTAGACAAGTAAACACGGCCTATCGGGCTTAATACAAGACACTAACGTAGCCTAGACTTGCCCAAGTCGCTCGCTAGGGACCGCGCGTAGCAAGAAGGGAGCGCTTGAGAAGGACTTTGGAAAGTCTAACGTAGCCTAGCAACTTCCGAAACCTTGTAACATGGCCAGCGTGTAAATACATTATTCAAATTTACTATTAATGAGCATGCACATATTTATATAAAACTTACCTCTGCTGAATTATTAATTGTTTCGCGAATAGTACGTCCGATTGCCTCGGTCAGACGGTCAACGATTTTTCTAACCTTTCTGCCACCATGTCAAGAAGCAAACAAGCAAAAATGGTTTACTGTATTTATTAAAATACAAATCGAACTGTTGAAGTCGAACAATGTTTTCAGTTTTCACGCCGGAGATGTTCGTAAAGTTGACAATCGAAGCCCCTGGGAGGGGTGGCTAAATCTGTTTTGTATCCTACGTCATTTGGCTCGCCAAGTGCCGAAAAATTATTTTGGTTATTTGAAATAACCAATTTGTCAAAAGTGGTTATTTGATATAACCAAAATAATCACGTTGTCAAAAGTGGTTATTTGATATAACCAAAATAATCACGTTGTCAAAAGTGGTTATTTGATATAACCAAAATAAGTACCATGTTGCGTCAAAAGTGGTTATTTGATATAACCAAAATAAATCATTTCGAAAAAAATTGGTTATTTTAAATAACCAAATTAAATCATTTTGACAAAAAGTGGTTATTTTAAATAACCACGTTGTGATATTTGGTTATTTGATATAATTAACTAAATCATTTGAAACTGCGGCATAAAACGTTTAAATAATAAAAACACATTTGGCGCCCCATACTTATCTGTGGGCATATTAAGAAAACAGTTGACGTTTCAAGCAAAGGTCTTTTATATTTAAGTAAAATAATTAATATTTAATTAATATTTTTATGTGAAATAATTAATATTTAATATCAAAATCATTTCACCCCTAATGCACGAGTCAATGTAAACCCCCCACCCCACCCCGGGCCAGGGTGGGGGTTAATAGGGGATTGGTAGGGGTTTAGATCAGAAAACACTCCCATGAGGGTGGGGGATTTGAAGCTTTTAGCATTTATCAATCCGCAGGGTATGGGGATTGGGTAGGGATTAGTAATGAGCCAGTTGTCGATTTTTCATCGGTTGTTCATCTCAAATAACGTTTTATCGTCTAGCTCGTATTATCTTTGCTTCGTGTGCTTTTTGTACCAAACCTTTTTCAAATGCAATTCATAATAGTTCATTGCATTCCATACTATAGTTATTTGAAATGTAAACTGTTTTAGCAGTGTTTAATTAAAAACTCTTAATTTATGGGCGAAGGCCCCAGGTACAGGGGAAATTTTTTGACATTCGGAACTTTTGATAGTCGACAGGATGTGGGGCATTTGCGAATATTAGAACAAGGTCAAAGTCAAATCACCACCCTGTCCCGGGGTGGGGGAGGTCGGGGTTTACATTGACTCACGCATAAGTCATTAGACAAAAAAATTGCAAAATATATAAAAACACATGCAAGAACAACTTACAAAGGCCAAGTGTTTTGTGTTCTACAATCGATCAAATGCAGGGATCGATTAGTTTCTTGAGAATAAAAACAATTCCCTGTGCAATGATTATCAGTGGGCCAAAACAACTTTGACATCTAATGACTTAGGGACAAATCAACTTGTACATATCTGTGAACATATTAAGAAAACAGTTGACGTTTCAAGCAAAGATCTTTCATATATTTAATATTAACAATAATTTAAATCAAAGAAGAATACACGCTTCCTATATATACTGAACTGCAGTAACAAACGTAATATATATATATATATATATATATATATATATATATATATATATATATATATATATATATATATATATATATATGCTGGGAATCATTTATCAGCGATTCCCAGCAGCCTTTCGCGCTCGTATTCGACTTTTCCGAGGACAACCTTAATTGAAATAGCTGTATACTAAATTGCAGTAACAAACGCGTCAACGCATCACAGTTGTGTTGCATCGTTTTTTCAAAACCACGTATATAGGCCCCTATATCAATTAAATCCACAAGACCAACGACAAAAGTGTTACGGCTAATTGTGCATATATAGTAATATATTATACTCGTTTTGAGTGATCTGGAAGTTAGTTGCATCGTTTTCAAACCGTCATAACTGTCAGGAAAGACAGCAATACATTATACTATACTCATTTTGTAATCTACGTCGTCAAGGACAATACAAGCCTATAGGGCTGTAAATGCATAAAAGGCGTCTATGCGCATTTGTATCATTTTACTATAGGCACAATACGCCACGTTTTGACGTTTTCGTATATGGTATTAGTAATACGTCGTCAAGGACAATGTCCCATTGACATTGAGTAATTGATTGTCCATGCATGTCCAGCCACCAGTGCTGCGAGCCGAGGAGCCGAGTAGACCATCCTGTTATCAATGTGATATTTCCGATTTCCAGTTGTTGATATCACAGAAACTATTCATGCAGCACGGCAGCTATACTTATTTTGAACTTTCAACCATTCAACAAACGCACTTACGCACAATTTCATCTTCAAGCAATTTTATACCATCATATTTAATAGAAGAATGCAAACGTTTTGTCCTAACTTGTACAGCGGATGAAATTTCGAAGAAGAGACGTGCTTTGCTTCAGGATATTAATGGCGATGTTTTCTACCCCATTTCCTTGTGGCCCAAAAAAATTGAAAGACTTTTCTTGAGGAAACCGACACGCAATGACGAAACTTTCCAGTTGCTTCTCTTCCTGGTAGAAACTGCTGTCCACCAGATTTATCAACAGAATGGATCCTTATAACCTCCACATATTGGGACAAGACCAACACAAATTCCAGGTTCATTCAAAGTTACACCATCTTTTATTATTCTTTAATCTTTAATCTCTAGAATTTCACATTAAATAGTAAATACTAAATACTAATTTACAATGTGAATTACATTTAAACTGTGTAAAAAAATTTAACTAAGACTAATGTTAAGAGTCAATATTTACAAGTAATCTTAAATAAAATTAAAATTTTTTTGAAAGAATTCGGTAAATTTACTTCGACTCCAGCGTTCGGTTAAAACATTTAATCCCATACACAATTGGGCTATTTTTAAATCGTTCAGTTCGATATCCAAAATTATACAGTATTTCTCCATTTGATCTAGTTTGTCTCTGTCTTATCTGATTAACTGTTTCTGGCAATAAACCTCTCTCCTCCGCAGAGTTTTCAGTGTTGTCGAAGAAAGCGGGAAACCTCTGCCAGAAGTCACGCCCAATAGTTCAAAATACAGGGGGGCGGGAGGAGTTTGTGAGAAATTTGTCAATTGTTATTGTTACATGTAATTGTTAATTTGTAATTCTCAAAACTGTAAAAAGTGTTTACTAGATCTATGGACGACGCAAATTTAGTAGAAATACTTGACCTAAAACACTCTTGTGTTGGAAAAGCATTATTGTTAGAATGGAGGAATGGGAAAACGTGTTGTCATGCTTGTTTTACAGAATATGGGAAAATCGAAATATTTTTTTAAAAATGGACTTTATGTCCATTACAGATCGCTTCATCGGCGATCGGATTTCAGCGAAGAAACAACGGTTAAAAAAGGAGTAGAACTACTGCAGGACTTGGTTGCAACTGAAACTTTTAACAATCTCCAAAAGCTTTCCAATATCAGGCGATTAACCGCTCAGGTTGTTGTTCATGTTCAGCTTTGGATGGGCTTAGTTGATGTTTACAATTACATGCTTGAAATACAACATCTGCTTGACTACCTATAAGTAAAATTTTGCATATTAATTGTAAATCAGGGTAGCCAGATACAGGCAGATTTTTATAAAAATTGAATCCTATTTGACATAATCAACAAACTATTGTTTACCAATTGAAATATAAATCATAGATGACATGATATATCTGACATATATGCTTCATTTTTATACTAGACGGCAGACCCATCAATTTTGCATTTCCATTTACAAAATTACAGTACAAATTACTTATTAACTTGTCTCAAATTTATAATTGTGCTGTAAAGAACTCAAATTCTTTAAATATAGTTACAGCTACTGATTTAAAAGTATAATTATCAATGGAAAATTGAGAAATAATATATACAAATAACAAGGCGTGAATAAGTGAATTTAATTATTATTTATACTAAACACAGACACTCAGACACAGTACTATCATAATATATATACATATACATATACATACTTTATTGTGTTCCCTAAATAGGGATTTTCAACACTGATTTACAAAAAATAAATGTTGTTCTATTTACAAGTTTTAGAATCTAGAATTTAAATTAAGGTAAAAAGGTAAGACATTTGTATAAAGTTTAACAAGGTAAAATTATCTACTTATATATTTGTTCTAGCATGCTTCGCTTCAGTTCGTTTTTGAAAGTTTTTAGGGAGTCTAACTTTTTGAACTTAATGTCCAAATCATTCCAGAGTGTAACGCCTCTATAATGAAAGGACCTTTGACCTGCAGAAGTTTTGTACAATGGTATTTGCAGTGAGTCATGGCTACGTGTATCTCGTTGATGAATGTCAGAACGTTTTGTGAATAAATCGCTCAAATAATGTGGAGCAAGTTCATTGACACATTTGTACATCATAATAGCCTCTCTTAGTAGTAATTGTTCCTTTACTGGGAGCCAGTTAAGTTCGCGTAAGCCCGGCGAAATCTGGTCGAACTTTCCAATATTTGTTATTATCCTGCATGCAAAATTTTGTACCAACTGTAGTTTCTTAATGTTGGTAGACGAAGTGTTTGACCAAACCGTTGAACAATAGAACATTTTGTTCATTACAAGTGCCGAGACGATGAGAGTTAAAGCTTCTTTATCGAAACATTTTTTGACTCGGTTTATTTGGCACAGGGAATTCATACATGAGGAAACCAGGTTGGTGATGTGCTGGTCATACGTCAAATAAGAGTCGATTGTCATTCCTAGATCTTTGGCAAAGGAGACGGGGGTAATAGTCTCGTTGAGGAAGTTTATGGTCATATCTACGGGAAGTTGTTGTAGGTTTTGCCGTGTGCCAATCAGCATGTATTTGGTCTTTCCCGGGCAGGGCCGTACGCAGGATTTTTTCCCCGGGGGGGCAGACGGGCCATGGGCACTAATAACTATAATACCATATTTAGGTTTGCGATTGCTTATAATCTACAGTAACTGGACTCGTAACTCGTCTTAGAGTGTATACGTACGTTCATAAGCGCCAATTGGCTTTCCGCGCATACACATCTTCTGGCCTTGGGATACACAGACTGTCTCGATGAATCATGAGCATTGCCAGTCCACTTAAACGTTCTTCATTCATCGAGGCTCGCGTCCACAGTTTGAGCCGTCTGAGTGCTGAAAACGACCTTTCGCAGCACACACTTCCAACCGGAATTGTCAAAAAAATTGTCAAGATTTTATTGATCACTGGATAAAATGTAGCATCACATTTCACTGCTGCGTCGTATGCAGTTTTAGGCTTCTGCTTGAGAGGAACATCGGCGAATTTTCGTTTCCACCTGACAATTTCTGAATCAAGGCTGTTTTCTTCGCAGAAAGTTAGGTACTTTCCAAAAAACTCTTTCAAATCTTTCTTATTTAAATCAGTTAGTCTATCCAAGTATACAGGCACAAGAGACTGAGCAGCAATTAATCCTTTGTGCTGGACTTTGAATCTTGTCTCAATCTCTTCAACAACACGATCAATAAAAGGATAGTAGACATTGATTCTGTAATAATCTTCACTTGTTTGGTTGGCGTTACCAGCATTTGCACGGTGGCGTTGATTTACCGCAGTTTGTGGCTTAGTTATTTCAATCCCAAGCGCTGTTCCTATCGACTGAATTTTTCCCCACAGTTTAATCCAGGAATCATCTGCGCGCGAAGCTCTTATGCATTCTTTTGCTCCGTTTACTTCTTCATATGCATCACCAAGATTGCATTCTTTTGCCTGCAGTATTTTGGTGACTGCTGCTGTAAAACTCAGAATGAACTGAACCACAACAAGTGCTACGATAAACTGTGGAGTTTCCATTAGGCGAATGTATGATTGGGCATTGTGCCTCGGCTCCCCTTTGCTTTGGGCTGCGATTTGCTCAAGTGTTCCATGACCGACGAATACTTGGCCATCAAGGCAGATAGGGTTTCCACCCTTGAACTCCATCTGGTGGGACAAAGGTTTGGAACGGTTTTCTTCTTCGCTCCTCTTAAGATTGCCTTATTTGACTTATGAAGGCCATGATCGTCGTCGTTTTCATCTTCATCCTCCTCCTCCTCGTTGTCATCATTACCACTCTCTGTTAATAAGGCTGTTAATTCGTCATTGGCCTCAGTCGCTGCATTCTGTTTAAACATTTCCTTTCTTTTAGCACCATCTCCCAAAAAACTTGTGATCTTGGCTACATTGTCAAACAAATCCCGAACACTATCAATACCTGTGCAAGCGCCTGCAAGTGCTAGATTGAGAACATGAGAACGGCAATGTACATAAACAGCATTTGGGTAAGCATCAGACACTTTTTTCTGCAAACCATTATTGCTTCCACTCATCACGGCCGCTCCATCATATCCTTGTCCAACAAGTCCTGTCAAATCTAGTCCCCATCCTTTTAAGGTTGGAATAAAAACATCAAAAACAGACTGCGCATCCATCTTTGTCAATTTTACAAAGCCCAAGAACTCTTCACAAACTTCCATATTGCTATTCACAAACCGTATGCATATACTCATTTGTTCCATTGCAGAAACATCCGTTGTTTCATCGGCCATTACACTCCAATATGTTTGAACCGTGGCAATTACTCTCTCTCGTATTATGGACTCGCACAGTGAAATAATTTCGTTTGGGATGCGGGGCGAAGTGAACTTTGCATTTTTTGGAGCATGTTCCAAATGGTCTTTCAGGTCCTTGTCAAATTCTGATTTCCAGTTCACAAAGAAAATAAAGTTTCCGTTTTCTTCGCCAGTTTTCTTAACCCAGTTACCTCTTAAGGGTGCTCCTCGCATTGCCAATTTGATGATGACATCGATGATAGATAATAATCCCTTTTTTGTACGGATTTGTTGCTCTGACAAAAGCTTAGATAGTTTCGCTACAATATCTTTACCTGGCTGACACGTGGCAAGAAAACAATGGGCCATTTATTCTGCAGTTTGATGGGCTTCACTTAACATGTGTTGATCAATGTAGTTATCTTTTCCAGTTGCTTTTTTCCAGTTGCTAAATCCACATGACACGAATGGGGACAAATTTGAAGAACATGAGGTATTCCCTGGAATGTTCTTCTTTCCTCCAAAGCATATACAATATGCACAAAATGCTCTGTCCTTTGTAATACTATACCTCAACCATGGCCTCTGTTGCATCCAAGATGATTTGAATTTCCTACCAGCTGTAACAGGACATTCAAAGTTATGGGGCAAGTCAGATTTTGATTTCAGAAAAGATAACTTGTCATCATCAGAAAGCTTTTTGGAAATATAATTGGCAGGGTCATTGATATCATTAACAGGTGAGGTATTGTTCCTTGTTTGGAGAATCAAAAGTCAGACTGCTTTCATTAACTGGTGGTAAAGGTTCAGGAGGAATAGAACTTTCAGGTTCAACACTACACCAATAAGGCAAAAGAACATTTCAATGTGTCATGCGTGTATCAGCATGAATTTTCAATGGCTATTTATTATTTATACCATGTTGATAATTTTGTAAAGGGAGAACCAAAATATGTTACTTAGTTATTAACTTTAAACCATACATAAGTCATAAATGTGAAAGAATTAATACTAAAATAAACATTGGAAAATTTATTAATCAAGAATCCAAACTCTAATCAAGGTAGTTTGCAGTGCAGCAAATACACACATGTGAATATGTTGGTTTATAATATATAGGGATTATTAGATTATAGGCTTAGTTAGTTTGCTGCGAAGCTGCGTTACCATTTACCTGTATTTACAATATATATTACATATATGATATAAAATTAAAATGTTAATTCATTTATAACAATTTTCAGAACAAAGCAATTACATGTACAGAAATACTCATATAATATAAATGTCCAGCACTAGCAGTAGCAGATGATCTTATTTTATTTATATTTAATTTATAATCCTGGTTCACTTTACAGTCACTTCAGCATGATATTTATTTAATACTATTTAGCAAATAAAACTTCAACTTGCAAAGTCGGAAAGTCACAGAACAAAAATATCAAAGCACATAAATTATATTCTTTATACCTGGTTGAACTAGCACTGGCTAGTTTAAATAACAGAGTTGTTTGACGAGGTTTTTGCCTTTTAGCATTTGGCTCCATTATATATAAATTTTAAAATAACTGAAGAGCATTCGAGTGTGACTTATGAGATTTCGAGCGTGAATCAATACAATATCAAATATGGCGGCCGGCCGAAAGATTTGATGCTGGTTGGTAGTCTGGTACCTAGTTACCTCGAAAGAGTACAATTAAAATCTAAATCGCTTAAATTTTAAGCCTTAAATATATGAACAAAATAAATAAAATAAAATTCAATTATTTTATTTTACACCACACTATACATCACATATCTAACACGTTCTTTAATTTCAAATGCTTGAACTAGCCAAATAATTTTTTTATTATTTGCGTTTATTTGAACATTGCAAGTTTAGATTTCTCTGGGGGGGGGCAACTGCCCTGCTGCCCCACCTCTGTGTACGGCCCTGTTCTGACCGCGTAACCCCAAATCGCGGTATTGTCTGCCCGTATTTGATGAGAACGGGGGGCCTCATGCGGGAATTTGTGGGTATATATACTTACAAAAATGTGAAAGGCCTGAAGCCAGACCGCAATACTTAGAATTTTCTTTGGCTTTGAAGGTGGTTCGAGACAAAAAGAAGCTGGGAGACCCGCTTCGGAACTCATGCATGAATGAAATCCGAAATTTATCGCAACTAGTATTGATCAACAAACTGCCAAAATCGATGAACTCCCCATTCCAAATTTTCCCCTTAAGTTTTGCCGAGACCCTGGAATCGATAGGTGAACTGGCCTGAACAGTTGGGTAGATTCTACAGAATTGCTTTGCTATTACTATTTAATGTAGGCAATAACTTAGGCTCACCTGAAATGCTGGTATGAGCCGCAGCTATTTTCCCAGTTACCAGAGTGTTTGCCTCGGATTGTTGTCCTTGTGGCGATGGAACATTATGGCTTGAACTTGACTCTTGCATGTTGGACTGGTTGATGATCAGTTGATGCCACCAGCACTGGAGTGGGAAGCATCGTTAAAAGCTTCGCTGAACGCTGCTTCGTTACTTCGTTACTTCGTCAGTCACTGTGGACACAAGCGTCTGGAGAACCTCGGGCTGCAAAACAGTCTCCGTAGAAACAGCATCGCTAACAGGAGGAACAGAAGCCGTCGGTGCCATATTAACTGAAGGTGGTTGATTGGCACTGCGCGTCGCCATTGTAGCGTTGATGGTCGAACTACGGCGACTACGCTGCGATAACGGACCATCAGCTGACGCGGTAGAAGGTTTTTTGCGTTGCTTTTTCCCTTTTGGTGGCATTTTGCAAAGGGAAAATCTTGCCAAAAACAGTTTTGAATGTAATGAGAATAATTGATCAATGATAAATTACAACTGCGATTAATATACATCATCGTTGAGCCGCATGAAAAACGATGACAATCGAATAAAATTTTTCGCAGGGCAAGTATGGCTGACATTTTTATAGTCGCCGCAAGTTACGAGCCCTGGATGGTCAAAATTATTTATAACCAGACCTCTCCAAAAACATGGAGAACAGTAGAATAATACCCAACAACATAGAGAACATATGTAGTTCAAATATTAAAATCCCCAAGAACATGGAAATTTAATATAGAAGTCATGAAAGCACAGGCAAATGGGATCATTTGTTCAGGAATGACGGATAAATATTTATAGGGGTGCGCTCTTTGTGCGCACCCCCGGTACAAATAGGGTTAAGAGGAATTATTGTCTGCCACTATATGTCTTGTGTTGCGAAATTAAAAAAAAAGTCTTTTGTGTTATTTGTTGTGTTCTGTTGTGTTGTCTCGTTGACTATTCCCTGTCACGAAAACGCTTTACTTTCGTCTTGGTTCACGTCAATTTAAAACGTCTTAGTAATTGGGTAAGTAATTGTATACATTTGCTGCCAATGAACATACGAAAACTGATGAGAAATTAATTAAACGATCTTTGAACAACCACTCGTGGTCGTGAAAACGGAAGGATATTACAACATGGAGACTTGTAGCGAAGATGTCCCGATCTGCGAAAGAAACCAAGACTTCGCCAAGATCAGGTTTTAAGAACCAGATGAACCAAAAGACAATTAACGAAACGAACTAGAACATATTATATCTATATTTACTGAAAACCAGGAGGTTTCTACCAAAAGGAGGGAGATACGTTATACACGGAAATAATAAACTAGAATTATGCACGAGTGTTGCACGTGATCGTCACATGGGAATACACAATAAACCATTGATGAACAATGCACAATACCGTCATTTAATTAAGAAGAGACAATGTATATGACATTGTCAGGAAACAGTTAGTGAGTCATCTGTGGTTAGTGGGAGCGAATGCGTTTATCAATAGCTACGCACGAGGACACACATTAGTATAAAATATATATGTGATAAAAAGTAACCTTGTTGTTGGTGTAGTGACATCGATCTTATCCTGTTGAGCTATTGCCCACACGGCCCGGACGATCTCGCAATATTGGTCAGAATATACTCGAGGAAAGGGGTGTAGTGTAACAATGATCTAAAATGAACTCAACTCGTCAATCTTCGCTTAGAGGTTTTTTATACAATCATAGCAATATGCCCATTCCAATTAAAATTGGTCCTGAATAACCAAGCCAAGAACTTTATATATGACGGAAAACAATTTTCATGAGGTGTCCCTCAAATTGAGATGTTCTATAATGTGTCGCTCTTTGAGGAAACTGACGTACATCTATTTACATTTCATTGGATTGACCTTCATTAATTATAGGTTGTTGTCAGCCCATGTGTTGACCTCATCAAGATTATTCTGCATATAGGATACACTGTTTCTTGACAGTACAGGCATGCACTCGGAAATGGATACATACCAAAATTCAGCCACAAACGCTTCCCAAAACGTTTTAAAATGTTCTTAAAAATGAACTGCCTTTTATCGGTAAACGTTAATGAGTTTCAAATAAACTGACTTCAAATTCTCGCATGAATATAACTTTGCTTTCCACTTCAATTAAATATTTTAGTATAATAAAAAAGGATAATTAAAAAAATTATATGCCGTCTTTTTTCATTTATATTCTCAACGATCATATCAGTTTTTTAGAAACTACGATTTTCCAAGTTTGTGTTCAAATAAAGAATGTAAAAGGGAAGAAAAATACAGAACAGGAAACAGGATATGCTGCCGAAACCGTTTAAGTAGGTTCTTTAATTTTAAACTCGTTTACTCTATAGAGTTTTTGCCACAAAAAACAATTGCTGTATATGAATGTTGTTGACGTTGATTTTTGTTCGTCGCTATATAACAAAACACGACATTGAGACTCTCGGGAAAACAAAATGAGACTCTCGGGAAAACAAAACTAACTATTACCCTCGGGAGCAGACATTAAGTGTATATTAATAATGGATCATATATTGTAAATTTGCATGCAAATTGTGTTGATTTAAATATGTGTATGAATCTATGAAGATTTCTTTTTATTTTTTGCCATTACACTACAAATATTTAAGTATTTATTTTACCCTGACAGGGCTATGTTTTGGTCAGAAGAGCATGATCTGATGTTGTGCCGGTAAATACTGGCAGTGGACCCTTTTACTGGGACAAAAAAAGGAACAGTTCAAAGAGGGGCCAAGTGGAAGGAGATTGTGGATAACTTTTGAAAATAGAAATCCCAAAATTTAAAATTGACACAAGAGCAGTGAGGGATAGGTATACACTTCTATCACAAAAAGTTAAAAGAAAATTACGAGAAGAAGAACGAGCAAGCGGCATTGACACAGATATGACTGAGGTAGAAGATGCTTTGGAAGACATATTAGAAATTGAAGATGCTTCAGCAAAACAAGTGGAATACGAGTCTCATATAAAGGTGAAAGAAAAGCAAAGCGCAGAAGACATGCCAAAAAAAGCTATGGAAAAGCTAGGAGAAAGCCAAAAACGAAAAGGTGATAAAGAAAACGAAGGGCGCCGAAAAAAGAAAAGGTCAAATGGGAGTGAGACACTTCTGTTCCTAAGAGAAAAGAATGAAATGCAGCAAGAAATAAGAAAAGAAGAAATGGAACTGAAGAAAAAAACAATAGAGTTGGAAGGGGAAAACATGATGACTTAATGAACATAGACATGATGACTTAATGAACATAGTCATGCAGCAGCAGCAGAAGCAGCAGCAGCAGCAGCAAAGCAAAGCAAAGCAAAGCAAAGCAAAGCAAAGCAAAGCAAGCAGATGCAAGACTTCCAAACTATGATGCTTGCTATGATGTCCAGATTTGGTAAAAATTAAAAATTTACTGTTTTGAAAACCAATAATTAGTTGTGTTATGGGAAACATTTCTTTACAGTTATGTTATGGGTTTTATATACCAGGCTTTGTCGTTTATATTGTGACATTATTGCCTTTGTTGTTAGGCATCTATTAACACTTTTGACCAAAACGGTACCATATTTATATCGACATAACTTATTTTCTCTATTTAACCCACAACCTCTTTTACGCCCTCCACCCTAGTTAGTGCCCTGTCTGGAAGTGCTAAAAGAAAATAAGCCGCCTCTTTCTATTCAGGCCCATTGTTTGTTACAAACTTTCTATAAGATTAACTCAATCTATGTAAACAATGTTCACTGAGATGTGGCTAAATAATGGTAAATTGCATGAAAATGTTCCCTCTAATGATTTATAACTCTGGAATTTATTATTTTCAAAGAATGTGGAAATTTATTTAGTCCCTAGCCTCTTTTTAGCCCCCAGCCTTCCAGCAAGAGCCCAGTCCAGAGCTACTAGAAAACGTAATCACCCAGGGGGGTAAATAAAGGAAATACAGTAGCTGTAATATTGTTATTATATTTGCATTTACATTTGTTATATTCATACATATGTATGTTTCTATTTACATTTGTTATATTTACAAAGACACTAGATCTTAAATACTAGTAGCCTCAAAGAACAATTAGTAATTATTGTTATCACAAACACAGTGCAATTGTTTTAGATACCACAAATCCTCCACCCACCACCAAATAAGGCCAATTCCATTCCCATCAGAGAAACAGGTAGGAAATTATTTAATTTATTACTTAATATACTTGCCCCTGTTATCAAAATAAGTGTGTTGAAAATGCATAAAGTGTACAGTGTAGCTGGGTTGGGGCATCTGTCTTTCAGGCAGGGATGGATTTATCTAGCCCTTGCCAGAGGGGGTGCTATTTCTCATGATAAAGCAAAAAGACAAAGTGAGATACAGTAATTTGACTAATAACATGATCAGATGATAAGTGAACTGTGAACAACAATTACAATTCAAATATACTAGTTGATGGGCGGGCGGCACACATGACCGACACAACTCGGACGTCAGCAACAGAGCACCCCCTACCAGATCATGCTGGATCCATCCCTGCTTTCAGCTAAATCAATTATATTCTTGGGGAGAAAGACCCTGGTCACGTGATCTGCAAAAATCTAGCAGATTTCTTGGATTCCTTTACAACAATCATACAAAAATAAAAATTATAAATTGAACTATAAAAATCATCCAAATATCAAATATTTATTGACCTCATCTTGGATTGCTAAGTAAAAATCTGGTCGAGTTTAGCAGATCACATGAACCAACATCTACCAGGGTCTTTTCTCCCTTAGCCAAGAGGGAGGACCCTGGGTACGAGGTTGACTATTTTGTGCCTGAGATGAATAGGGCCTTTACAGAGGATTTATAGCAATGTACATGTACAAAGTCTTATTTACTGGAAGTATTCATATAGAGTGGGAGGTTCCATTCCAAAGAACTTTGATGTCTGATTATAATAAAGACAAGTAAGTGCATTTCTAAGAAGAGCAGATACTAAATAGAATTTCCCAACAGAACTTAATCCTATTTTGAGGTTCTTCTTGAAGTCCATAAATTTAAAATAATTTGCAATGTCACCAAACAACCATTCCACAGATACCCGTACAGAACTCATCGACTTGTTAAAAGCTTGCATTTGAGGTGTAATTTGACCATTTCTGTAAGGTGCCTGTAGTGTAGTCGATGAGGGTAGGCGGGGTCTCCTTACAAGCACAAAGGCTCGCCAGTTTGTGAATAAGCATTTTCCTGTAGATGATTCAGTAGTTGAGCCATGCCAGCATCCTTGCATCATGTCGTTTACCCTCTAAAAGGTGAGAAACAGTATTGAGTATCACTTTATATTCCATCAGGGTGAAATCATGAGAATTTCTACAGCATTTTCTGAAAAACGTATTGATTAAATATTTATAAATTGAGTCGCATACCTAATGGCCCAAACATTTGAGCAATCATTTCGGATGGCAATGTCACAGACTGGAATTTGATGGTGTGTACTCTCTTGTGCCCGTTGTAAACAATCCTTTGGTTTTTCCCAGCGCGACATATAGACCTGACAGTCCCATCAATAAACCCGAAACAATTTTCTAAAGCTGCTCCCTTCCTTGAGATTGTAGACTCTCTGGGCAGATTGTTGAAATTCGCAAAGTCCAAGAGTCGATTCAAGTATGATGCGCAGCAATAATACGAACTCCACACACACCGATCATACACAAACAATAACTTTAATACCAGTTAATTACAATGTTCTGTTGTTGAGATAGCTCGATAGGGATTGAGGTTAAGGTTTGATAGGTATTGGTAGATAGATTGGTATATGGAATATGGTTAAGGAATATGGAATGTGGGTTCGAACTATACAATTAGGAAAAGAATTACAGATTACGGCATGAGCTGTTTAACATGATACGCGATTGAAGACTAGATTAGACTAGACTAGACTAGAGAACTGACTATTACAACAAGATAAATGTAACTTACTTTGGTCGGCGCACACCAAACTTGAATAGATAATAGATAATTCGCCCGTATAAATTCACAATAGAATGTTTAGCGTTCTCGCTCTGCTTAGTTCACAATATTGAAATATGAAACCCTAAACTAACAGACCCTAAAAATATGCATGCATTACGTTACCATGGAAATGGCAACATGTCAATCTTCTAAAGTACGTTTCAAACCTACAGAGATAGCTGCAGCATACTGTTCCAGTTTGACAGGATTCAGAATAGTTTGGTTCCATTCAGTTATACGATGCTGGTGTTGGTCATAAATTTAATCCACTACAGTGTTTGTTACCATACACAAAACAGGAACTGGTTTAGCAAAACGAGCTATCATGTCGCTATACCGACATGGATAAGCAAGTCGTTTAAGCAACATGCATAGATCTTCAATTCCGTCGCATATTGTTCCTTGCCGACATCGAAACTTTTCTGGTATGCCAAGAACTTCGGCTAAAAGAGGTATATCATGTTTTTCCATACGAAATTCGGCTTTTGAATCGACAGCATCAATGGCTTCCAAATCAAAATCATCGTACTCTTCATATGGGAAACAAGGATTTTTTGAAGTATTTAGGTCATACAAAATCACAAATTCTTCATCATCAATAATATCTTCGTCGTAAGCCAAAAGTAAAGCGTTTCTGGTATCTCTGAACGAGCCCATTTCAATATTTACATCGTATACTTTCTGCAAAATTTATAGCATTTTTGTTTATTATAAACTTTACTGCACCCGTCGTCGTTTCCCGCTGTTTATCTTCAGGACCTGTTGCGCAACACCCGACGGCGTTCTCGTTCCCTGTCTATCCACGGTTTTACTGTCCCCGTCGTCGTTTCCCGTTGTCTATCTTAAGGTCTCTATTAACTGAAGGTTATTGATTGGAACCGCGCGTCGCCATTGTAGCGTTGATGGTCGAACTACGGCGACTACGCTGCGATGACGGGCCCTCAGCTGACGCGGTAGCAGGTCTTTTGCGTTGCTTTTTCCCTTTTGGTGGCATTCTGCGAAGGGAAAAACTTGCCAAAAACAGTTTTGAATGTAATGAGAATAATTGATCAATGATAAATTACAACTGCGATTAATATACATCATCGTTGAGCCGCATGAAAAACGATGACAATCGAATAAAATTTTTCGCAGGGCAAGTATGGCTGACATTTTTATAGTCGCCGCAAGTTACGAGCCCTGGATGGCCAAAATTATTTATAACCAGACCTCTCCAAAAACATGGAGAACAGAAGAACAATCTCCAACAACATGGAGTACAGTTCAAATATTAAAATCTCCAAAAACATGGGGAACAGTAGAACAATCACCAGCAACATGGAGAACAGTTCATATATTTAAATCTCCAAAAACATGGAGAACAGTAGAACAATCCCCAACAACATGAAGAACAGTGCAAATATTAAAATCTCCAAAAACATGGAGAACAGCAGAATAATACCCAACAACATAGAGAACATATGTAGTTCAAATATTAAACTCCCCAAGAACATGGAAATTTAATTTAACAATCTTCAACGAACGTTGAGAACAGTAGAAGAGAACAGAATAAAGCAAAATTCTTACCTGTTTAAATTAAATTGATACTAAAGAAAAAAGTTTTTTTCAATTGGCTGTAGACTGAATGCGACTGATGTGAACCGAATGAAAGAATGAATTATAATTAACCCACTTTTTCAGCCATTTACTTGACCATTCCTCACCCTTGGGGCATTCTCGCCATTTCCTTCGTATGACAACTGTTATCTTACCATCACCTGCTTATCAATTATAATAACCAACCCAAATGTCTCAGCCGGAAAGGCATAAAATTCCTAGTAGTTGACCTGCACCGAAGGACTTAGCATAGCTTATATTCAGTTATGCAGATGTATTTATGTAATAATCCAGGTTGTGATTGGTTGCACTACATGCTAACAACGACTAAAAGCAACTTAAAATGACTCAAATCGACCTAAGGAAACTGTAATAATAGGCAGACTATAGTGACTTTCTTCTTTATGATGCGAATACGATAACAGTCGTTGGTTACTCCTACCTCGAGTTTTGTAAATTGACACTCGATAAGGATTTGACCGGCAACCAATGAGTTATTTTGACCGATCGATTTTGTCGACCATGCCATATCGACCACGCATGCAGTTTCCATGGTAAAGAGTAAACTGCCAGTGCGTTATGGATCTGCAAAGCAACTAGTTATGATCAGCTGGAATAATATAACTAACTCCCTTGCCTGCCATGGTTTGGTTGTTCGGTTAGGTTTTTGGGAAACCGCTACAGCCTAGTCTAGAACTCCTCGAAAGTTCACGCCAAACGGCATGAAATCTGGTTTATTGAGGTTGTAATCATTGTAAGCAAATATACTCAACACATGTCAAAACACAGAAGATACGGCCGTATTCTAAAAGTTCACTCACGCTGACACTCAATGAGTGGAAGTTCAATCTGAGCTTCTCTCCAGTTATTCAAAAATAGCATCGACACTAAGAGAAGCTCATGAGATTGAACCTCTAATTATTGAATGTGAGTGAGCTTTTAGAATACCAGCGATAGTCCTGCAATTTGCATGTTATGATGCCTGATATATAATACTCATTGTCCTGTGTCGATGTTATTGAGTAATTTGTTTGTCCAACAACATTTGAGCAATATGTATGAGAATATACTATCTTAGCAAGAGACCAAACTTGTGCCAAAAGCCTGCAGATATTCACGTATACACAGCGGCGTAACTAGAGCGTTAATTGGGGGGTGGGGGTGGGTGGGAGGGGTGTATATTCATATATTCGTGTTCTGCCCGACGAATTTCTTTTGAATTTCTTTGTTTTTAAGTTCATTTCAAAATAAATTAGTCGGGCAGAACACGAATATATTAATATACACCAACCCCCCCCCCTCCTCCCAATTAACGCTGTAGTTACGCCTCTGATATACATGCCATACAGTTAAAGAAGTAAATCATAGGAAAAGATCAAAGCATCAGAAATTCAATGATTAAAAATTCGTAAATGATGGAGATAACATGGATGTAGTATGTGGAAAGAAAGCATACCGCATCAGTAGACTCATGTTGGATTTGCAAAGGCAATCATATTCAAATGTTCGAGAGTACTTTCTGAACTAGCAAACTACATGTAGAAGTAGAAGCTAAAAGAAGTAGGACGTTAAAACGCCCCCTCGCCAAGTGCGAAGAAACACATGACATTGTAGGGTCGTGGTCGTGGTAAGGAAGTGTGCGTGCAGGTTGCTATCAAAGCAATTACTGACTGATAAAATGATTGGAAAATATGCCCTAATGTGTTCAGGAGGGCGTTCAATCGGGCTTCAACATTGCTCTCTTCCACTGACTTGTCAAAAGCAGCATTTATAATCCAATAATAATTTATATATAAATAAAGAAAAGCCCGTTATAAATTGCATTTACGTTAATTTAACCATAGTAAGATTCACAATAACCATGCTGTCATCCATTTCGCCTGGCTTTATCGCGTATCTATACGTTACATGCTATTTTAAAACTGTAATCTGTATGCAAAAATCCAGCGCTTGCAACTGCATTCAAACAACTGTGTGCGCTATATTTTACAATAGCTATAGAAATTAAGAACATCATGGAGACAAGTAATTACCATATGGCCAACACGGCAAGAGGTTCAGCAACCAATCAGAATAAAAAAAATTGCGTAGGTTGAGTCACGATAATGATATTAATGAGGCTTTACATTCGCTTTTGTGCTTCCGTGCAGGTCAACTATCAATCTCGTACCCAGAGCAATGCCTGTGCGCGGGCTAGGATGGCATTGGCTCTGGAGAAATTGAATTTTTTCTGTGCTGTGATTGGTTTAACGTTTATCAATCGTGCATGCCGACAAAGAACCGGAACCCCTAAATTTAGGGGTTCCGGTTGTCAATTTCCCAAGAGCCAATGCCATCCTAGCCCGCGCACAGGCATTGCTCTGGGTACGAGATTGGTCAACTATTAGCAAGCAAATATTATATTTATACATGTAAATTTGTATTCTTCACAATTTTGAATTAATTGATCCTCATGCATGGTAACTGGTTTCAAATGGCTAAAGTAATGTAATAATTATCTCATTCAAACGTTTGGAAGACCAAATTTTTATGGAGGATGACATTTCTAAAGGAAAGGCGACCTTTCTAAATCTTGGGAAGAGGGCAAATTCCAGGGACCGACCAGTACGTAGTTTGCATTATTTCTCACGGCTCATAACGACGCCGACAATAAAAACTTGGCTATTGCAATGGAAAGGAATTTTGTGTAGTTTGTGAATAAAAAGGCAGTTTTAACTCGCAGCCGGTAGACAACATATATTTAATAAAAATAAATCAAATCAATATCCCACACAGTTTGTAGGTAGGCAACAATTTGAGATATATGTATTGATGAAGATTATATCAAATAATATCATGATTGCAGGTATTCCCTTTGTTCTCGCAGGGCAATTAATAACTAATACACCTCATTATATTCATTTTTTCTAATCCTACCCGCTTTTACGTCATGTCAGGTAGAATTAGTTCTAATCCTACCCGAAACGACGTCAAAGCGGGTACGATTAGAAAAAATGAATATAAATGAAGATATCTGAAATCGCCAAAACTAAACAAAGACAGGGAAAACAATTATACCATTTAATTTATACCAGTATTTATTTTTAATTGGTTTTTAATGGCCCTGCCAGAACAACGGGAATACCCGCAATCATGATATTATAAGGTAATAGCATAAAAAGAAGCGAATTAGCTATTGAAACGTCCCGCCCGATGAGGGTCGTTTAGTAAAATTCCCTTGGGCGCCGCTCGATGAGGGTCATTTAGTAAAATTCCCGAGGGCCTTCGGCCCTCGGGAATTTTACTAAATGACCCTCATCGAGCGGCGCCCAAGGGAATTATACTAAACGACCCTCATCGGGCGGGACGTTTTAATAGCTAATTCGCTTCTTTTTATGCTATTACTTATAAATACACGAAACATTTAGTATAAAAGACTTTTTTCAAAATAGGGCTTGTTTAAATACAAATTGTTCCATGCTGTAAATGCATTTTATCCCGTACTAGTATAACCATGTGAAGGAGGAAAGCTTGGCCATCTCAATATTCAGTACTAAGTTTTGTAAATTTAATTATAAATGAAAATTTTAGCTGCAGAAGTATTATTGTTTGGCGCTATTAAAATATAGCGTGAATGGTTTTATCTCCGTGCACTTGAAACCACAATTACACAATATGTTGACAGTGTTCTTTGACGTTCTCGGACTGCCGGGGGTCTTTGCGCCCAGCTGTTAAATATTCGTTGTATACACATGCCAGAATGTAATTAACATTCTTGCTAATCGTTTCCTTTAGGCAAATATTTTGAATCTTTACTCAGCATGACGATAACAGAGCTGTGATGAAATTTTGGAATTAACGCTGTTATGTGGACCCTAATGGAAAGGTTTAAAACATCCTTTGGTCTTTGGTGAGTATAGCGATGTAGTTTGTGTAGTATTGGTTTAATAATAGGCTTAGATCATTTCAACGTCAGCTAAGAATTGCGTGAATGAACAAAATCTCGAACTGTCTGTGCCAATGTAGGCAGTGCCAATAATAGGAGCAAGCTTTCGTTGGTAGAGATGCAATAACCTGAAACA